ATGCAGACGAGAAGACCTACACAGACTTTGAGCAGAAATGCAACTGTGTTCTGCATAATTTGGACATGGCATTTGAAAAAAGCTTGCATATGACTCACTTGTGCAAAAGTTGGGCAGGACCTGGAAGATTTGCTGTGGTACATGGAGCTATGAATTCTGCTGTCTACCAAAACATCATGAAGGAGAATGTCCAGCCATCTGTTAGTGACCTCAAGCTGAAGCACACTTGGATTCTGCGGCAGGACAATAATCCAAAACACACCAGCAAGAAAAACAAAATGAGGACTTTAAAGTAGTCTTCCCAGAGTACTGACCTGAATCCAATTGAGGTGCATGACCTTAAAAAGGTGGTTCATGCTCGAAAACCCCCCCAGTGTGAGTGTGAATTACAAGAATTCTGCATGGATGATGAGTGGGTCAGAATTGCTCCACAGCGCTATGGAAACTCATTGCCAGGTATCACAAACTCTTTATTGCAGTTGTTGCTGCTAAGAGTGGCCCAACCATTTATTAGGTTTAGGGGGTGTACACTTTATTAATAGTGACAAACATACAAAAACCAGGAAATCAGGAAGGCGGCAAAGACTTCTTTCACCCCACTGTACATGACCCCTAACAAAATTGTCTGTGATACTATCCTGAGTGGATGCAGTGATATATTATACACAGGTTACTTTCATGTCAAACAGGCGAAGTGAACTTCATGTATGCTTAATTTCTTTAAAGGAAAGCAGTAGTAACATCCGTGACAACTAAACTGTTTGCACATAACTGCCTATGCATATGTAGAAGCCCAGGTTACCCTCAGGATCCTCAGCATACACAGTGACTGTGCTGTAAATAACACTGAGAACAGCAGCCTGGGGTTCAAATGATCAATAGTGCATTGGAAAACGAGCCCCTCCAATGTACTGCTGTAGCCATTTAATGCTGGATTCATTCCTCATGCTGTGGCTGTGCCGTCTCTGAAATCAGCTGTGTGACATCACCAATCAAAACAAATTGCCAGCACTGTGGGATTAGCATTTTAGCAGGTTATGGTGAGGGTGTTCAGTCTGTGTGGGCAGGGTTAGCAGAATACTTAACATTGTTTGCTAATCTTGAAGCTGTACTCCAATGAATGTCTGTCACATCATGCAGTATATGCACACTCAAATGCACCGCCGACTGGTGCCGCTCACTCCCACCAGTAAAGGTCAGCGTATGTATAATGGAGCACATGCAAGTCACCTCTCACTCAAATGACCCTTCAATAATTTTATTATTCTTACCCCTCAGCCATAAAGGGAGGATGGGCTGTTTTTGTCACCTCGCCAGTTGGGCAGGCAGGCAAAGTGAAGCATTTGTGAACTAAATGTCAACAGATTCACAAATTACCCACAATGCCACAGCTCATTTTAGCGAGTGGGACTGGTCCCGTCATGTCAGATTAGCTTGTTGTGGATGCTAACAAGCAAATACAACAGGCAGACAGCTGGCATCCATAACTCCTAACTAATGGATGTTTGGTGCCACATTTGTTTCTGAGTACAATTTTTAAAAAGTCTGCATGTATCGTAAATCTAAACTGCAAGGTGGGGCAGGATCCCTGTGTTACCTACAGCTGTACGTGTACAGAGTTGGAACACTGCAGCTATACACAGCGTGGTCAGTGTGTGTGTGTGATGATGGAAGACTGAGGCAGTCAGAACATGCCAGCTTGATATTTTTAGACAGTTCAGGTGATCTCGCTAATGAGACAAAGCTCAAAGGAGCTGGCGCCTGAAGTAAGTGTGTGTGTGCGTGTGTGAGTGAGAGAGAGAGAGGGTGGGAGAGGCCATTTGTTGAATTAGCTGGGCAGTGTTGAAGTGTTCAGCGATTAAGTTTAATCCTTGAGTCTTGGTGATGTAAGGCCTGACACCCCCCCCCTCTCCTAATACCTCTCCTGCATGTTTGGTCCTTGCTTTTGAAAACCTGTTTTTGTGTTTGGGAGGAGGTTGATTGTGAGGGTAGGAGGGAATGCCCTGTCCATTAGGCTGTGTAAATATACAGCATGTGTGGATGCATATGAGGACGTTTATTCGTCAGACTGGAAATGATGCATCATGTCTGTAGGGGAAGATAAAACGGAAAGGAAGAAGTGACAATATATGATAGTAGACGTGAGGCCAAAAACAAGTGCCCTAAACTGAATCAGTGAGGACAGTGAACTGAAACAATAGCTGCTTTTTAAAAGCTTTAAAGGGAATTTTGTGATGTCCAGTTTCTGATTTGTGTAAGTAAAGTGTAGAGCGCTTTTTTCCCCCTTTTTGTCTGAACCAAAGAAGAAGCAGGCCTGTTAATACAAGCCTGATTCAAAGGCATGTTGTACGATATATTGTACTCTGATTTAGGGCTGCCACAAACGATTATTTTGATAGTCGACTTGTCACCGATTATTTATGCGATTAGTTGACTAATCAGATCATGCATCCATTGGACGTAAAACGTACAGCTTATTGCACCAGCAGCATCTGCTCTTATATAACTATCATTAGCTGACAGCTTTAAGTGTTTAAGGTATGTGCTAACTAAAAATAAAGACAAGATGATAGTTTATGAAATTTTAATGAAATTTGCAGATAGTTTCAGTGAAGTTTAATAAACTCCTTGCTATCTAAAATATAACAGGACACCGGAGTAAATTCTTGAGCATCTCACACTTCTGATAATCAGTTGCCTGCTTGACGTTTATTCAGCTGTGTAAAAACTATAACTTTAATCTCAGCCAAACAGATTTACTCAGGAACAAATAAAATACTAAAAAAAAAACCAAACAGTATAATTTTAAGTTATCTAAGTCACTCATATATCATGTTTAACCTGAGTAGCGAAAGACGGTGGTGGGTTTGAATACGATTTGCCGGGAGTCTGGTGTTCTCAATGGCTCTAGTGAGCCTTGAGCCCCGGTTAGCTATCAAGCTGGTGGGTAACAGACGTCTCCGAAAACGTTGGAGCGCTTTTGAAAATATGTGGTGTCTTGATCACACACACAGGGATGAATGAGTAGTGACCAGAGGTGGATCGATATCAAACCCTAATCTTTAGAACTGTGCTCACTGGTTGATTCTGTTTTATACGCGACACATGCTCCTCACACAAGGCCTGAGGTGGTACCGCGGCTTGTCTACCAATCAGAAGGTTGCCATATGTCCATATGTTGAACTGTCCTTGAGAGAGATCCTGAATGCTGAGTTGCCCCTGATGTATCTTTCAGAGTGTGCGTGTGTGCGCAAGATTGTATGATAAAATAATGTATGAATGTGTGTATGTGGTTGGCTGGGTGAGACTTGTGGTAGAAGTACAAATCCAGTATAAACCAGCATTTCTTCAGACACACAGCTCATTTTGAGATGGTGGTTGATCATTTTGAATATGGGCAATGGTCCATTTATTAGAATTTCAGACTCCTGTTGATAGATGTTGTTGATCAGAAGCAACTTTTCCATCATTTGGCCTGAGTGGAGCTGACAGTGAGTGAGTCTGGGCTGGATTTATGGCACATTGTTATGAAAATATAGCAGGGAAATAAGTGAATTTAAGACACATCTGTGTCTTACAGGACATGTGGGAGGGTGAGAATGAACGGCTTATATTTGTTTAGCCATCTATTTTTGCTCATACGTGATACTAATCGGTAAAGCCAAGATGCAAAGTCTTGAGTGTCAGCATTGCATGTGTACCGGTTTCTGTGGACAGTAGCTTGTTATACCTGCCAGTCTCGTGCCTTCATTTGTCTCCATCCCTAATGTACTGCTTCAATGTGTGTTTGATGGGAAAATGTCGCTGACATTCTAAGGACGGCAGAGGAGGGCCGTAACTGCCTCACCAGGCCTCCTGGAAGTGCCACAGTCCACTGACAGTCTCGTCTCTGTCGCTCTACACCATTCTTCACACATTGCTGATGGCCACAGAGGCTATTACCATGGCAACAGTGCCTCTCAACCCTGCAAGCCACATGGAAGTGTGTTTTGTTTTTTTTGTTTTTTTAAATCCCTCCACCCACCTTCTCTCTGATGATGTTTCGAGTCTTTATTCGATAACAGTGTGAGATGTCTGTCCATTGTTGGTGTGTTTGAGAGCGGCGCTGTACTTTTAGCCAGCTAATCTCCAGGGCCATTTTCTGTAATTATGAACTGTGTGTGTATGTGTGTTGGTACAGTTGTAAAGTGGTGAGTGGAATTAGTTGCTTTCGTGGCCTTTCTTAAGAATAAGACAGCTTCAGTCTTTCTTAAGGCTCATACAGTAAATACAGCTGCTTGGGTTTCAGCTCTGTGTTCTGCCAAGTGTTTACGCTGTGTGTGTGTGTGTGTGTGTGTGTGTGTGTGTGTGTGTGTGCCTCAAGTTTGCTTTTGTATGTTTTATTGTCTAGTTTTATACCAAATAATTTCCTTATTGCCTCTGTGCTTGTACATTCCACTGTCATATATTCTGCTTATTTCACATTTCTTTGATATGCTTAACAACTTGGAGGAATTAAAGTCATTATGATTAGAGGCATGTGAGGTACGCTGATGAGCATATCGTACAGATTGATAGACACATGGTAAAATGGTAAATGGCCTGTATTTGTATAGCGCTTTATGGTAAGTCAGTAACTACATCAGTGCATTACCTACCTAACTAAATGCCCAATGACACAGTGTCACATGTGGATCAGCTGTAATCCTAAAGCTAACACTGGTCGGGACTTTTGGTAATACCATTACTATGTTAATGAGCTATAAGAGGGTGATGTTTCATAGACTGTTAAAACTGTTACATCCACATACATCAAAAAAAGAAAGTTAGTCGAGGCCTGTTATAACTTTGACTTTAGGAGAAGTCGAAGGAGATCTGCTCGTCCTAAGTTTATGTTCTGTCTTATGTTTAATGTTTGGACTCCACTGGAGAGGCTAAAATCATTGTTGACCAGCAGACTGATAAATATTGCTGTTGCACTGAGATGTATACTCACTGTATTTTTGCTTTGTGTCTCACAGGCTTCCTGCTCTTCAAGGACTTCTGTATGAATGAAATAGATGAGGCTGTGCCTCAGCTCAAGTTCTACGAAGAAGTAAGTGTCCCATGCCCTGCGAATTAGAGTGCACAAAAGGGCTGGATGACCAGCTTGGGGCCTGTAATCCTGCTAATTCAGATTGAGCCTTCCGCATTCTGTGGTGTCGCTAAGCTGTGTGTGTGTTTTCTGTTTCAGATTAAGGACTATGAGAAGCTGGACTCTGAGGAGGAGCGGTTGAGCCGCAGCCGGCAGATTTATGATGTGTACATCATGAAGGAGCTCCTGTCCTGTTCACACGTGAGCATGCGGCCTTAACATCCACATTTTGACCACAGGACTCTGGTTCAAGCACACACAGACAAACATGCACACACCTCATGGGCATCTAATGATCCGCTCCCTAATATTCTCTTCGGTGAAAGCCGAGGAATCTGAGAGGTTTACGACACAAAGAGATCAGGAAAGCCACATTGTTGAAAAATATCAGAAAGAGACTGGTCAGTGGAACCTGGGATCATAAATGGAAACCAGATGCTTTTAGTAACAAACATTGAATCCCATATCCTCGATATTAATAATTTAATCTACAATTAATAATTTACTAGTGATGTAAATCCATACTATACTGTTGTTGGACCAATCCCGATCCCTGTAAAGCACAGTATACTCCAGTCTTCACCCTGCTTCTTCCTCTTCACCCGGCTTCTGGAGCAAGTCTAAACACACACACACACACACACACACACACACACACACACACACACACACACACACACACACACACACACACACACACACACACACACACTCTCTACTGCTTTTGTCCTCATGCAAGGCAACAATTTCGGATGTAAAGCAAGCACGGTGCATGCTGGGGCTGTCTAAATGGAGGAAGTTATTAAACACCCACCACCCACGCAAACCCAGATATTGGTGTTGCTCTCTGCAGCAGCGTTACAGTAGGGGTCGCACATGCTCACAACAGAAAAAACAGAAGTGAAATAAATGTTTATGCTGCATTTTTAATGGCCTTTGGTTTTATTTCCTCCTCTTTGTCTTAGCCATTCTCTAAGAAAGCAGTGGACCATGTGCAGAGTCACTTGGCGAAGAAACAGGTCCCCCCAAACCTTTTTCAGGTAAATACTATTTGATCTCTGAAGCTGCACTTGTCTGACTGTGCTCTTTTAAACATGTAGGGAAAAAAAAAGTGAAGGATGGAAATAGTTTGATTTGATGATTGTAGACCTTTTACTTGTTTTTATATCAGCTCAGCTCATTGCCCCATATATTGCAAAGGAAACGGTCACTTGTTGTGTTTGATCCCACATACTCCATTAGTACCCTGTTGGTGGAGCCCTGACCCCAAAATGTGACTGAAGAAATGGTGCTTCCATTATTATTGTGCAAGTTGTTTGATGAGAGACACACAGTGATATCCTGCTGCTCTTGACAGAATAAAACTGGGACAAAAACTCCTCAGTCAGGTTTCGAAAACCTCAACGGTCAAACAGAACAAACATGAAACTTCCAAAACTTGTTAGTGCTGCATTGATACATGCATTTAGAATAGGTGGCAGTACGAATGACTGGACTGTGAGCAGGGCAGGAGTCATGCATGTGTTAGCATATTTGTAGTTGTTGTTTTTTTTTTTAATGATGCCACTCTGCATCACAATGAAATGTAACATTTCATTAACAGACAAGTTTGTAGGTCTACACTGACTTTTATAAAAGGCAAGTGCCGCTTGATGACATGAACAGGGCCAAAACAAAATATCAGAACAGCAGCATGCAACACTGCACATGCTCCTTAGAAAGAAAATACCTGTAAAACTGTGTGTGTATTGAAGGAACATTTTAGGATCATAAATCACTTTGGTGGCTTTACTTAGGTTCTGAAAACCCCGTGGAGGTTTCTAGAGGAGCACTCATCTCCACCTTTCAGTCCAATGTACCAAAATAAAAAAATCCCCCCACAAAAACACCACCTATTTTGTGATTTATTTATTTTTTCTCCATTCTTAATTGACTGGTGTGGTATGCGTGTGTGATTGACATGTCATGTCCATGTCAAAGAGTATCTATAGCACCTGAGTTGTACCAGATTCCCTTCTGTGCTCAATATTTGAACTTTGTTTTCGTTCATGCTGTTGGTAATTAAACTTTTACCATGGCATCGCTTGCTAAAATGCCACCCAGGAAAATTACATGCAGAGCAACACAGACAGGAGCTGTGTTTGAGCTCAGAAAATCTAATCAGCAACTTCCTCTTTTAGACTACAACATGGCTTATTTTGTGGATATAAAATTATACCCAGTGACTCTAAGATGTTACATCAACTTGTTAGTATTTCCTCTATATTTTCTCAGTCCTTGGGTTGTATGTGCAGCAGTAATACAGTACCTCTGTGTTACAACTGCACAAACAACTCAAAGACTCTTTGAGTCACAAACAAGATGTAAATGTTCAGTGGGCATTTCTGTGAAACAAGTTAGCTCACAAATACAAACCAGGTAAACAAGGCTGAGGCTCAGAAACAGTATGTGAACATGCAGTCCTGCCCACTCAGGAAAATAATTCACATACACCTGCAAAGCATTTTTGTCCACACATTTGCTGAAGAGAGTGTGTGTGTGTGTCTTTAGCCATACATCGTGGAGATCTGTGACAGCTTGAGAGGAAACATCTTCCAGAAGTTCATTGAGAGGTAATCATACTAGATGCGTTTTATTTTTGTTTCTCTTCCTCTTATTTTTCTTCAGCGGGGGGTGGTAGCTGACATCACATGTTGACATTTTGCTTTTTTCCTCCAGTGATAAATTCACTCGTTTTTGCCAGTGGAAGAATGTGGAGCTCAACATCCATGTGAGTATGGGGGACAGGGGGATTCTCCCAAAAGTTGACTATGTCTTTTTTATCTTATCGACTTAATGGGTTTGTAAAGAACCGTGTGGTTCTTTAGCAATTCCCTCCATCCAATGAAACACACCAGCAGAGCTGCCGAATCCTGAGATGTCTGGAAACAGACATCCGCTTTTTCAGATGGTGGGACGCAACAGCAACCTGAACCAAACGGGCACGTCCACCCAGAGTTTTCTGTCTCTGAGAGGAAGGCCATGTTTTTCTTCAGCTTGAGTTAAAGTCTCTGTGCTCCTCTCTCCTCCTTCAGCTGACCATGAATGACTTCAGCGTGCATCGGATCATCGGCAGGGGCGGCTTTGGAGAGGTGTACGGCTGCAGGAAGGCAGACACGGGAAAAATGTGAGCTCCGTAAATGTATTGAAAGGCACACCGCTCGGTGCAGTTACCTCTGCATGTGTAACCTGTGTCTGTCGCTCTGATTGTCAGGTATGCCATGAAGTGTTTGGACAAGAAAAGGATCAAAATGAAGCAGGGGGAGACTCTCGCACTCAACGAGAGAATCATGCTGTCATTAGTGAGCACAGGGGTGAGTTACACACCATGTTTGCACCAACAAAGGTTTTATTTTTTCTTAAATACTCGGCATGTTTTTAAAAATGCAATTCAGTACATTGCAATATGGTATACCAGTAAAACATAGTTACTCATACAGATCCCACTTATTCTAAACTCTCAGTTCTGCACAGACTTCCTGTATGGAACAGACTGCTTTGGTTTGAGCGCACAGGTTAAAAACAGCCTGAGATATTTTCCTCTAAAAAGACACTACTTCCAGAAACTACAAACAGAACTTTGTTTTCTGTCCATTCTTCAGCTCACCTCCCCTAACACTTAGCCCATGTCTTCTTGAGTGGGCAAGTTAAATATATGTGTATGACATACTGTTAAACAGACTCCACCTTAAGCAGTAAAATATTGCCCACCATATTCTCACTTTGACTTTGATTTCCACATCAGAAGGAAAAACATTTATCAAAGAAGAAAACTGATCAAGTTGATTTTGGGGGGAAATAAAGCACAATAGCATCATCGGTTTATTTTCTCTACAGAAATTCTATTCATTCAAATTCCCTTGATTGTCCACACCCATCCTGCAGTAACTCTGTGCTCCATCAACAAGGCCCCCTGAGAGACTGAGAATCTCTGCTGTAGCTGCAGAGCGGTGTCAGTTCAGACAGGCCACCGGGCAAAGCTCAGCTGACATCTTTCTTCAAATCCAGTTAGGAAGTCTCTCATTGGACGCTCTGTTTAGCCTACCCCCTAACCCTTTGCTTACCCACAGTTGCTGCACACCTGCAAGCCGTTTTGAACCCCATGCCCACTGAAGTTGCTTCCTTCATGCTGAATCTGCTTTAACTGTTGTCATATCGATGATATTATATCATCGATGCCTGTGCTGTTCCTGCTGGGTCATTCAGGGGATACCTCAATTTATAGCCCTGATGCCTAATGTCAGTGTCCCTGAGACTACAGTGGTCCTGAGTGAAATCCATCTTTCTGATTTAAAAATCGGTTTTTTGTGCTGCATGGGTGTGTTTTACTAAAGGTCCTCAGTTCTTTTTCCACTACTAGCTGTATAACCCATTTTAGGAAAACCACAAGAGTAAGGTTAGCTGGGAGGAGTTCACTTGTAGACTTTAAACTCGTTCTCTCTGCATCTTCCTTCAGGACTGCCCGTTCATTGTGTGTATGACGTATGCCTTCCACACGCCTGACAAGCTGTGCTTTATCCTGGACCTCATGAACGGTAGGATGTCCCACACCTTCCTTCCTTCCTGCCTTAGATTAAACTCCTGCCGAGTCCAATCTGTCCTGAGACACAAAGATGGGATTACTCGGACTGCCAGTCGCCACTCAGGCCATTCCTCCCTCAGGGAGTTGATAGGATTTTGATCTCATTGATGACGCCTCACACCACCTGCCTGTGTTAGATTCTTTTGCATCTAAGATCAGCCTCCTTTTGAAGTCACACCTCAATGTTAAGTATATCCTGATCAGGACTGGCCAACTTTCAAAGTCAACAGTCACCACCAAACAGTGTCCACTGCTCGCTATTTGAGCTTCAGTTATGCTAATGAATACAGATAATCATTAGCTCAGTGAGACAGCTGGAAAAGAGAAGAGTGTCATAGAGAGCCTGCCATCGATTTTCATTTTCTCCCCCACGAGAAGGTTACCACAACTTATGGACAGATATTGATTTAAACTGAGGTGTTTTGATGTCATGCACTTACTGTGTATGTTTGTGTGTGTGTGTGTCTCTCTCTCTCTCTCTGTGTTCAGGGGGTGATCTGCACTACCACCTGTCTCAGCACGGCGTGTTCAGTGAGAAAGAGATGCGTTTTTATGCAGCTGAAATCATCCTGGGTCTGGAGCACATGCACAACCGCTTTGTCGTCTACAGAGACCTCAAGGTAGACTCCCCCTGATTCCAGACGGAAATCATCCTGAACACAATCATTCCTATAATCAGCATATTCCATGACGTGGCCAACAATGAGTTTCTCCTGTCAAAAGAAACTTAAAAGCAGCTTTTCATACAATAAATTCTGAGGACTCATTTTATGCATAACCTGGAATCTATTTACAGTGGACTGAGGTGAAATTTATACCCAACATCCAAGAAACCCTCAGGACAGCCTCCATCTAAATAACTCAGGTCCTACCAGCTGGTGCATTACTGAGCTGCATTACATATAGGTTTCCCTAATATTTTGCCCCGTTAATGTATACTGATCTGTAGCAGGAAAAAAAACAAACAAACTTAGAAGCTAGCTGTGGTGTAGGGGATTACTAGCTACTACCTCTGATTGACTTAACCGGGTGTTACTGCCGACGTCAATCGTAAGTCTACGGAATTTACATTTGCCCTTGCCCAGCAGTTTTAAATTTCCTTCAATGTCACCTGCTCTGGCCCCTGGAAGACAATTGACTATGGTTGCTGGTGTCTCTAGCTTCACATCATGTCTTAGAACAGAATCGCCAATTTGCAGAGTTTGGTCAACACACATGAATGGGGTTGATGGCATACCAGGGGCTTCTTCTGTGCTTCCTCCTCACCGTCACCCAGTCATCCTGTTTTCCCGGCTGCTCACGGCAGTCTGTTGGGGCAGAGCTAACGGGGCTACGCTACCTTCAGCTGCACCAGCTACAGGGGCCTGGCTAGCTGCAGGTTTTTCAACGATGCAAGCTGCGTCTCCAGTTCAGGGACCTTAGCCTCCAGAGCTGCAAACAGGTTAATTCCATTACAAGTATTGCTATTTCTAAAGGAGGCCGATGAGTAACTAAACATCTGACACACAGAGCAGGAAAGTGCTAGAGAGACAGGTCAAGAGGCCATGTTTCCATTGCGTCGGCTATGAGCTAAACTGGCAAACAGTCATCTAAAGCAATGGAAGACATATTGTAGTAAACAGCGTGTTTTGCACAGCACTAAATAAAGGACGGGAGTATAATAATATAATTGACAATAAATGATAAATATAATATCATCATCCAATATAGGATTTGAATTAAATCAGTCCAACAATTCACCTCACCAGAATCTGTGTCTGTGGCTTATTACTGCGGGGCACTGGACACATGCTCTCCACGTTCAACTTTCAACTTACAGATCCTTTTTTTTGTATGTGTGTCTTTTGTATCGTTCATCTGTAAAAGCAGCACCTTTCATATTCCATGCAGTCGTATAAATCCGCCTCTGAAAATAGTCCCTCAACATATTTGTCCGGCTTAGCTAAAACTGAAGCGACCAGCTGTTTCAGGAAATCGCTGAGTGGTTTAAAAAGGTAATGACCACATACAGCATCTGAGCGTTTTTCTACTTCCCGGGAGTCGCACAAAGCAAGAAAACACAATTTTGTACTTCATAGGATTTATTTACAATCAGAAAATTTTTTAATATCACCAGAGTTTTAATCCTTTGTTTTAAAAAATCAAAACAACCAAAACTGCAATGATTATCATTAACTGCACATCAGAACCTGTGCCATGTTCCCTTTAGATAACAGTTTGCTATTCAGGCTGTAAAAGGGGGATTCTAACTTTTTAGATAAGCATCCCTTAGTCCACTCACCCACCGCTGCACCTCCACAGCTTCACGTTTCATAGCTTCATATCAACCAATTTGTCAGCTGTCCTCTGTTTTTTCTCCGATTCCCCTGTTTGGACTGGCTGCCATCATAATGGATATATTTTGCTGGAAGTCAGGGAGCAGTTTTAGTGCTTCAGTAAACAGTGCAGTTCAATGCAAATAATACTAAGGCAGCGTTGGACAGAAAGAAAGAGAGTGAGCTCCAGATGTGCCAAACGGCAGAGGATAACCAGGACAGGAGGCGCTCTTACTGTCTGTATTCACACAGAATCTCTGCTAGGGAACGGAAATTGTAACTTAAGTCTTGAATTAGTTAGCTCTCCAACATTGTATCCTATGCTTTATCGTGTTATCTCTCACATTCTCCATCACCCTCTCCATCACTCTGCCTATGTGTATGTCCTCCCTCAGCCAGCTAATATCCTGTTGGATGAACACGGTCATGTTCGTATCTCTGACCTCGGCTTGGCCTGCGACTTTTCCAAGAAGAAGCCCCACGCCAGCGTGTAAGTTCATCTGAGTTTAACTCTGCACAGCATTTACGTGTCTTGGGGTAGGTGGGTGGGCTGGCTCATAAATGTAAATAAATCTATATTAATATGAAATACAGCTGGCGCTGCTCGGGGTTCTCTCTGAACATCTCTCGCAGTGATTACATTTTAAATGGGTTGGACTATCTCAGCTCGCTGCACTTTGACAAGTGGAGAGGATTGTGCCGACCTGATGGATCATGCATTAAAGGGCAAATAAAAAGAGTCTGTGGTGAAGTTCCCAAGAACGGAGCTGTATTAAGTTACTGTTAATGCAAGTCAAACATTTCCTGCTGCTGCAGCTTCACATTAAAAGCTTTTTAAGTGGTGAAACACATTTTAATTGAATATGAAGTAACCACAGGAAATGCATTGTGTTGCTGCGTACTCTGCTGATTAATGTGCTCCTCGGAGATTGTTAGTGAGCAAAAAGACAGCACTGTAATGTCTCGGGCAGCGAGTTGTCAGAAAGAGATGCTGAGGAGGACAAACATCCCACTGCAACTTCTTGTCCATCCAGTCAGCGATGTGGGTTGAAATGATGTCTTCATATTGGTTGGGTGAGTGGTGATATATGATACACCACTATTACATGAAGTGTTCTTCAGTAAATCAGCACTAACTAATCAGTTGCAATTCAAAGATCAGTTTTCTGCCCATGATTGTGGTGCCTTTAAAGCTTTGTGTGTCAGGTCCACAAACATAGCGGTGGACTGCTGTCCATCACACGTTGACATTTTAAGTAGCTGTGCAGGACTGGCAGCGTGCTCCTCAGTTGAGATGGAGACTGGCAGCAAAGCTTGAGTGATTGATCCCTAATACGTCAATGAATTGCTTCGCCCTGCATGGATCATAATGTGGAGCTCAGTGAGCTCGCAGCAGACATTCAGCATCTTTTCATTACAGTTATTATCACTAATATTTTTAACTGTCTACTTGTTCATTGTTGGCGAATATTCTTTCTTGGATTCATTTGAATATTTTCAGACATGTTATCTTGGGCTCTGTTCATTGTTATTTTACATGATTGATGCTCCATTTATGCTGATGTTTATAGCTCTACTCTCCTGCAAACGATGAAAGCTAAACACAAGGGCCTACATTGGGTTCAGTTTCAGTAAAATGAATTTCTGCAAAGAGGTGTAATGAATTGGTACTTCATAACTAGATTTAAAAAATAGAATAAAAAGAATAAGCCCAGAAGGGCTGACTGTCCTGAACATCTGTATAATAATTATTGAGAGAAATACCAATTTCCTGCATTCATTGTTTTGACGTGTGCTGTGCTTGTTGCAGTGGCACTCATGGCTACATGGCTCCAGAGGTTCTTCAGAAGGGGACGGCATACGACAGCAGTGCCGACTGGTTCTCCTTAGGCTGCATGCTCTTCAAACTCCTCCGAGGGTAACCACTCAGGCTTTACTTGTTCCTCTCAGCTCATCTATCCCCCTTGCTGCACTGTCCTGACTTCCTGTCAGCTTTCAGCCTGCTCTGCCACTCTCAGTAAACTCTTCGAATCTGCTCGCTCGCCTTTCTCGGCATCTCTCACCAGCCTGCTTTCTATTTGGTGTGTGTTTGATCTTGTTTGTGTGCAAGCCTGTGTGTGTGTGTGTTTGTTTGATCTGGAGTGTGTAAATGCCAGAGGTCTGGGTACAGTAGGTCAGAAATCCGGTAAAAGCAGTTGTGTGTGTGTGTGCGTGCGTGTGTGTGTGGGGGGGGTGTTGGGCGGGTTTGCTTATCCTGAGTGAGCAAAAGAGAAGAGCAAGTGTGACGTGAATCCATTGATGTTCAGATCCATGTGTTTGAACACTTTAAAGAGGAAGAGTGTGCAGGCCTTTGGTCAAAGGTTGTCTGCGTCTTTCAACACTAGAGTCCAAATTCTCAGAGCTGGATGAGATTTCTTTTTCTTTCTTTCTTTTTTTTTTTTGGAAACCACTTAAAGCAAGATGTGGTCAGTATCATTGTTTTCTTCTTTTTACACACACATATACACTGTCTCACACAAGTGAGTACACCCCTCAAAATTTTGTAAATATTTTGTTATATCTTTTCATGGGACAACATCGAAGATATGACACTTTGATACAATGTAAAGAAGTCAGTGTACAGCTTGCTGCCCCCTCTAAGTAACTCAATACACAGCCATTATTGCAACAAAAGTGGGTATATATACATATATGTGTGTCTATATCTCTACCTGTCTGTCTGTCTAGACATGTCCATACACATATCTAGATATAGGCATATATATGTATATACATATACAACCCCCCCCCCCCCCAAAATATCACTCCATCAATTAGTGAACAGTCTCTGAAATAATAATTTTCATCCTGTTCCATGCCCATATTTAATTTGACACACTACAGGGTTTTGGCTAAGAAGACTGGCTTCAGGCTTAATAGACGTTCTTTTGCATATTTTTGTATTTTTTCCACACTGTTGACGATGTGTTACCTCTCTAGTGTTATCTCTTTCTGAGCAGCTGATACATTTTCGTTCTTGGCTTTACTCATCCGGACATCCTGGCTTCTGAGAAATTTTTTTTTTCTTTCACCAACGCACCACTACCTTTTTTTGAGGGAGTGGGGAACATGTTGACTGTGATTGGTTGTTGCGACGGCGTTACGCCAAATCTACGTACTGACTGATAGGCCAGATGTGCTGATCGAATTTTAAAATCTTGGTTTATGGTTGTCATCGACAACCGTAAACTATAAACCAGGTGCTTCAAGAGCATGGAGTGTCTGGCCTATTGGTACAGGCCATTCAATCCTTATACAACCACTGCTGGAGCTTGGTCTGCATAAGTTGACATGGAGTTTCGGGCATGTCTCACCAGGAAGAGACCCAGGACACGCTGGAGCGATTATATCTCTCGACCAGCCTGGGAACGTCTTAGTGTCCTCCAGAAAGGCTGGATGAGGTGGCCAGGGAGAGGGAGGTCTGGGCTTCTCTGCTTAGGCTGCTAGCTGTAGCTTACTTACTGCTGCACTTGTTTCATAACTTTAGCAGCGAGCAAGCCAGCTTACCAGCCAGAAGGGTTAAAGAACTTAACTAGCTGACTTGACACAGTATGCTGCTAGTAGGGATAAGCATTGAAGCTAGCAGAGAAGCTAACATTAGCCAGAAGAAAGCAATCTAAATAAAGTTCTCTCCAGATCCGGTGCCCTGCCTGCACCCCCCAAGTCAATATAAGTGACAATTTATTTATTTATTTATTTATTTTTTTTAGTCACTGCCTCTGTTCTAATTGAAGCTAATGTGTTCCTAACCTTTTAATCCAGTCCTTTGACTCGTGAACTGTGTGAAAGGATGGATACTATTTTTGCAGTATGCACTAACCTGTGCCACATTAGAATGCTTAAACTAAAATATGGTTCGTCATGAATCTTAATTCAGTCTGATAGTGCCAGTTGGATAGATGGTGTAGGACGTCCGGCTGTTAAAGCATTAAAAAACTCCTACTTTCTTCAGTGTTCTTTCCACACCAGCTGCACAAACACTCATTAACATCTACCAAGTCAGCATTTGAAGCTGCAGGTGTGTTGGCAGCGTCTGTGTAATTTACCTGAGGGAGTTTTTTGTTCTTGCTTCCAAACACCTCTTTTCTCACTCCATCCATCTCCACTTCTGCTGTTCCTAGTCATCGACAGTGTCACCATCTCGCTCTCTGTCTCTTCTGTTTTAGGCACAGTCCCTTCAGACAGCACAAGACCAAAGACAAACATGAGATCGACCGCATGACGCTCACCATGGTAAGATACATCCACACTACATGAGAGAAGATGCATGGGTGTCTGTGTGTAAACAAATCTCAAAGCACACACAGGGGATTGTGTGTGTGTGTGTGTGTGTGTGTGTGTGTGTGTCTGTCTCTTTGCTTTACCCTAAGCACCTAGGTTTGGCCTGTTTGGCTTACAGTAATTCCAAATGTGTACACACTTTTTATATATATATATATGCGCACGTACTGTACTGTGAAAAAACAGCCTGAGCAGAATCTGTTGCTAGTCTTTCCTGCACATCTTTGACAGGGTTGTATGTAAGTTTTGGGATCAGCTTTTAGTGTCTTTGCCTGTTGACCTTGCTTTTTTGTAGGTGTGCAGATAGAAATGGGAGCAGTATCCACTGTCACTCTTCCACTGGGAGCAAAGCTTGTAAAATAGCTCACTGTTTACAGGAACACAGCTGGATGAGCGAAAGTAGCCATTAGCTTGATCATTGTTTGCTGTGGGTTCAAACTTGTACACAGATCAAGTCCCTCTAAAACAAAATCATTCCACTGTGTGACTAAATGAAAATGTAACTCTTTTTAATTAGTACCTAATTGACTCAGTTTTGGTTGTTTTGAGTACCACATAATGTACCTGGGGTCGTTGTATGCGACACAAACACAACGACAATGGAGGATGTCGAGTCAGTGGTGTACCTGCTGCTAAGTCTGTTGCTTTGTGTCAGACTCATGGACCGCTGTATTGGTTTGTGTGCGGCCGTTTCCCTCGTTGCCAGGTTTCAAAATCGGCAGTTTTGATTTTCATGAAGTAGTTGCTCTGTTGGAACCTAGGCCCAGCGGGTACTGAAAAAGTACTCGGTACCAGGTACTTTGGCACCATACACCATTTTGGCCAAAATTTTAATAATAATAATAATGTATACTTTATTGATCCCCGTGGGGAAATTCCTCTCTGCATTTAACCCATTCACTCAGTGAAGCAGTGTTGATGTGTTGTATTGAAGAGATAACAACTGAGTTGAAGTAGGGCTGGGATGGATTTAAGTGTAATACTACGTTTGCATTGTGGGTCTATGAAACTCTCCTTAACAAAGCCTTTGAGGAAAACAAAAAGCACACATCCAGAAACAGAATGACACACCCACTGTTAATACACTGCCCCCTGGTGGTGAAAGTTCAACTCTGCACTGGGTAACTGCACCAAGCATCTATAAGGTTTGCTAGATGGGGTTGATGAGGCAACATTGCACAATTAACTATTATTACACAAAGTAGCTTAGAAGGACTGGAGTCTACTCTGAGTGTCTGTCTGAGAAATTTGATGCTGAGCGTGTGGGATGGATGGTGTCTGCTGAGCCCACCCACGACATGTCTGCTTTACCCTCCTCACATCCACACCAGACTCGTGCAAAGGCGACATATCATGTTAGAGTGCAGGCAGGTTCATCGTGACAAAGCACAATGTGAATGTTCACTCATCTCTCTGCCTGCCAGCTGCAGCAGCTGTCCATCACAGGGGAGTGGAGCCAGAGATCTGGCTCTGTTTGTGTGTTTTGTCAGGACATGAAACAGTTGAATTGTGACGGTGCTCCATCCCTCACATACACTGAGCATGCCTGCTAAACAGTGAAAGTATGATCTTTCATATCATAATAAATCCAGATTAGGATTTTAATCCAGCCACTTAATCTGGTTTTATCCTCTTAATCCTTGTCTGGGTGTGTATCTGTGTTTCAGAAAGGGGCTGGGAGAGGAGGAGGATTGCGATTCATCCATGAACAGACTAAAAATACTGCTTTATATGCCCCAGTGTTTATTAAACGTGATGAATGGTTTCATTACATAAACATGAAGGATGGAGAGCACAGTGAAAAGGCTGAGAGCTGAGCAGCCAAGACAGGAAGAGATGAATGGAGCAGATCTCAGTAGATGGCATGTCTGAACTTTGAAACACCTCCATGAAGCAACTGAGCAAAAAAATCCAAGGGTGGAGGCTAACTTGGGTTGTAGCAGGGGGCTGTATGAAGAGAAATGGGCAGGTGCTAAAACGGCTGTTGACTTATCCCACTTATCAACCCTGTCTGTCCGGTGAAGGGCAAAGAAAAGAGAGTATGAATTACACTCTGCCTTCAGATGAGACTAGAAGAAGAAGAAGGACACTTGAGTCATTGAGCTTTCCAGACTTTTAGAGGAAAATGAAGGGTGGTTAAAAATAAAACTTCAAATTTGAGTTTGCTTTTAAGGGAAGGCTGTGCTATACTGTGGGGAGAAAAAGTGAGGTATAACCGCATGCCACACTTTCTGGATGCTGCTCGGCTCAGTTTTTTCACCTTTTTGGGGGCAGAACCTGCAGGGACGCGTTTCATGTGTAGAGTCCCAAAAGCTAGTTGGAAGAGATTCTTGGAGCAAAAGACACTAACTCGTCTGCAGGTTTCATTTCAAGCTGAACTTTGTCTGGTGTTAAACATCAACTGATACAGCTATTACAAATATTGTGAATGTAGGAAAAGCCTTTTAGTATTCACATCATTTCATTAGTTTGTTTTACTGAACTCTTCTAACAACTGTAACTGCCTAAAGTTCTGAAAGTTCATTTTTGGTGATTTTAATCGGTAAATGTTCTGTATTTGTATAGCGCTTTTCTAGTCCCTAAGGACCCCAAAGCGCTTTACACGTCCAGTCATCCACCCATACATAGTTTAACCAAATTGACACAACCAGTGCAGATGTACACGTAGTTAAGATACTGCAGAATTATCAGCAGCACGTATTAAAAGATGTGAGAGAATGGAGTCGTGATCATGATGAGTACATGCAAACTTCTGACCACAGCTGTATAATTGCTGATCTAGTTGTTAACACATTTGCCCTGCACACAAAAAAGGCTTCTTTGTTTCTGGGAGCAGACCCAGCCTCGGGGGGTCACTACTGAGTATACTCCTACTGCCTAGATTGTTTTTTGTTTTTTTTTGTTGTTGTTGTTGAAAAGTTTGTGAAGGTGGACCATAACAGCCGTTACTTTGGTGACTGGTGTTTAACTTTTGTTTTTAGTGGCCTCAGCTGTAATGGTATATACACTTATTCCATTTTTATTTACTCTTTTCAAAGAAACCTTAAGAACTCTTTCACCTCTTTATCAGTCATCAGCTGAACATGTAGTCAGTGCAAACGTGACATAAAAATATTACATCAGTAAGATCAGTGAGGTGAAAAGGTACTGCTTCAGTAAGTTGTACTTTTTTCATAATGCCTTATTGATATGTATTGGCTGTACCAATTACTCTGACCATTCTATCTACACGTACTCCGTCCTCCATAGATGCAGAGGTGCTGGCCCTGAGTTTGTTGCTTTTATATCAGCTATCTAAGCCTGTCTGTAATCAGAGGAGTTTGGATGTTATTTTATTTTTAAGCAAAGTGTTCACTGCAAAGTTCACTACTCAGTTCAAACATCTCACTCTCATTCCCTCCTCTTCCCTTCCTTCCTCCCTTCCTTCTTTCCTTCCTCTCTGTTACACCCGCAGAATGTGGAGCTGCCAGACTCTTTCACTGCAGAGCTCAAAGATCTTCTGGAGGGGCTGCTGCAGAGAGATGTATCCAAGAGGCTCGGCTGCCAGGGCCGTGGGTATGATATGCACGCACCGCACACACTTATTTTCATATTTTAGTGAGGACCTCTAAGGGTACGTTCACACTGCAGGCGAAAGCACATCAAATCCAACTTTTTTGACCCATATCCGATCATGGTATGACAGTGTGAACAGCACAAATCCGATATTTTCAAATCCGACCTGGGTCACTTTTGTATGTGGTACTGAATCCGATACGTATCTGATGTTTTAGTGTGTGACGTCTTCTTTTGCACATACGAGCCGCTTTGAGGGTTCACACTAGAGCGCGTTTGCTGTCACATTTCATTTGTAGTGTGAACAAGCAGACAAAAAAATTGGATTTGATCAAAAAATCAGAATTGAGCATTAAGATCTGCAGTGTGAGCGTAACCTAATTGACATAATGCCGCTTACCCTAGCCAATAAAAATGAATGCCTAAACCTAACCATAAACTAATTGTAACTAAAACCACATTTTGAGCCTCAAAAAGGCCTTCAGACACATGGGGATGGGCACTTTGTCCCCATAAGTGACTGTTGGTCCCCACAAGTACACACAGGCTAAATTTCACATTAACCTCTGTCATGTATCAGTGTTTACATACACAGGCATGCAGATGAATACATCAGTTAGACAAATTTTGCTAAATGTGCTCATTAAGTCTGATAACACTGGGTGGTGTAGTTTGCAGTCCGCTAGAGACAAATGGTGGTGGACATGAAGTGGACAAATAGAAGCTGAGTTCATAACTAATTTGATCATTGCTGTCATTTTGCATCAGCTTATAATTAAAGCCAAGGGATGGATCTTTGTCTGCTTGGGGTTAAATGGCAGAATTGTGTGCGTTTGTCAGAGGGCTGTATTATGGCAAACAGTGCCACCTAGTGTGGATATGAGAAATAACACTGTTTTGTGTGTGTGTGTGTGCGTGCGTGTGTGTGTGTGCGTGCGTGTGTGTGTGTGTGTGCACGCAGAGCCTCTGAGGTGAAGGAGCATCAGTTTTTCAAAGGCATTGACTGGCAGCAAGTTTACCTCCAGAAGGTAAGTGAGGTTCACTTCTGTTGTGAATCTGCTTTATTCTTTGTTCTCTCAGGATTTCTTGCCTGGAAGCTTATAAGTCTGGTTTCCATGATGAAGCTAATTAATGTACAGTGTTTGATCAGACAGCGATCACAAGGTATCCAACTCTGATCTATACTATTATAATGCAGGAGAGGTCATCAGCAGGTCTTCAGAGCTATGCTGACAAAAGCTGCAGTAGCTGCTGGTTATGTACATTTATAATTGTTGCTGTCATGATTAGCAAAGGAAAAAAAACTGACAAGTTGAGCCCACTTTGAATATGACATTATATCCACAAGTCTGATACTGATACTCAGTATCAGATGAGGCACAACTATTCATGCGATAAATTAATGAGTTTTGTGAGGTTCTTCAACAGCAGAAGAGTCTAGCTCAGGGGTGGGCAATCTCAGTCCACGAGGGCCGGTGTCCCTGCAGGTTTTAGATGTGTCCTCGAACCAACACAGCTGATTTAAATGGCTAAATTAGCTCCTCAACATGTCCTGAAGTTCTCCAGAGGCCTGGTAATGAACTAATGTGATTCAGGTGTGTTGACCCAAGGTGAGATCTAAAACCTGCAGGGACACCGGCCCTCGTGGACTGAGATTGCCCACCCCTGGTCTAGCTGATTCTTGCCATAGTAATGAGTCTGTGACGTCTGTTTCTGTCTATCAGCCTCACATCTCTACAGTAATTATTTCATTCACAGCCTTACAGCAGGTTTTACTCGCCTCACCTGTTGACGAGTCATATTGTCTCCAAGGCCACAAACTTATCTGTTTTTGCCCCCAGTTCACATACTATAACTGGCCACATTAATTGTTGCTCTGCTTTTGCCATCCAGTTCACTAAAAAACTACGACTTATTGGCATCCATTGCTGGGCCAATGTTTACTTAGGAGTTAGCAGTTAGCAGGCAGTGCTAACTTCAGTGGGTAGGCTTTCAAATCAGTGTGAACAACCAGACCAAAAAAAAAAAGTGGATTTGATCAAAAAATTGGAATTGAGCATTAAGACCTGCAGTGTGACCTTAGCCTTAGTGACCCTTTGACTTAGGGTCAAAGAGCAGAGTCTTTGTTAGGGTTAATATATCATTCAAACTGAAAGCCACATAAAATCTTGGAGTTTTCCTCCAATCAGGTAAACTAAAGGAGGCTAACTAACTGACTAACTCTGAATTGGACTACATTAGTCCATGCCAATTACTGTTGCTATGGTTACCTTGAGGGAAGAACTACTACAGGACTGTTGCTTTGCTAACACTCCTGTTTTGCTTTTATCGTCCTCTCACTTGTTACACGTTTTGCCTCATCTTCTGAAATCCATGTGTCTGTTCTCCCCCTCTTCCTCTGTCCAGTACTCTCCTCCTTTAATCCCTCCAAGGGGAGAGGTGAATGCTGCAGATGCTTTTGACATTGGATCTTTTGATGAAGAGGACACCAAGGGCATCAAGGTAAAACAATCTTACACTTCCATCTCCTCTGTTTATTTTAATTCAATTTAGTTTTATTTATATAGCACCAAACCACAACAACAGTCACCTCAAGGTGTTTAATATTGTAAGGTAGACCCTACAATAATACATACAGAGAAAAACCCAACAATTATATAACTCCCTATGAACAAGCACTTTTGCAACAGTGTGAAGGAAAAACTTTTAACAGGAAGAAATCTCCAGCAGAACTAGGCTGAGGGAGGGGCGGCCATCTGCTCAACCGGTTGGGGAGAGAGAAGGAAGACAGAGATTAATAACAAGTAATGATTCTATGCAGAGGGGTCTATTAACAAATGAGTGAGTGAGAAAGGTGACTGAAGAGGAAATACTCAATGCACCATGGGAATTCCCCAGCAGCCTACACTTATTGCAGCATAACAAAGGGAAGTTTAAGGGTCACCTAATCCAGCCAAAAGGAAGTTTTTATGCCTAATCCTAAAAGCAGAGATAGTGTCTGTCTCCCAAATCGAAACTGGAAGCTGGTTCCATAGAAGAAGGACCTGGAAACTGAAGGGTCTGCCTCCAATTCTACTTTTAAATACTCTAGGAACCACAAGTAAGCCTGCAGTGCGAGAGTGAAGTGCTTCTCAGGGAGTTTTTAGGACATCCTGATAATAACGAATTACAGTCGTCCAGCCTAGAAGTAATAAATGCATGAACTAGTTTTTCAGCGTCACTCTGAGACAGGATATTTCTAATTGTAGAGATGTTGCGCAATTTCTAATTGGTCTTGTCTTGTAGCACCTTGGTTCCTGGAGGAACGTTGTTTCGCCTCACTGTGTATTTTTAAACTGTATATGGTTGAAGTGACAATAAAGTTGAACTTGAACTTGAAATGAAAGAAAAGCAGTCCTATATATTTGCTTTATATGTGCACTGAAGGACATATCCTGGTCAAAAATGATTCCAAGGTTCCTCACAGTGTTACTGGAGGCCAAGGTAATGCCATCAGAGTAAGAATCTGGTTAGATACCATATTTCCAGGAATTTTAGGGCTGTACAGTACAGTACAGTAACCTCAGTTTTATTGGAATATAGAAGCAGAAAATTAGAGGTCGTCCAGGTATTTATGTCTTTAAGACATTTCTGCAGTTTAACTAATTGGTGTGTGTTATCTTTCTTAATGGATGGATAAAGTTGGGTGTTATCTTCATAGCAGTGAATATGTATGCTATGCCTTCTGATGATAATGCCTGAGGGAAGCTAGTTAACGTTACAGGGATGGTTGGCTCAACAGTGCTCTGACTTTTTGCCAGCCCGGCTACAGTGCTGAAGAGAAACCTGGGGTTGTTCTTATTTTCTTCAGTGTTCAATAGGGCTGCTCAATTAATCGAATTTTAATCACGATTACGATCTGGGCTTTCAACGATCATTAAAAATGACTGAGCCGATTATTAGCCCCTCCCTCGTGCTTTACTCTCGCGCTGCTCCGTGTGGCAAATCCAGCACACCTCTCTGTATTTCGAACACGTTTCACAACAATTAAGAACAGCCAGTGTTGCCAACTTAGCGACTTTGTCGCTATATTTAGCGAGTTTTCAGACCCCCTTAGCGACTTTTTTTTTCTAAAAAGCGACTAGCGACAAATCTGGCGACTTTTTCTGGTATTATTGGAGACTTATTTATGACGACTTTTTGACGTGAAAACGCGTATCGCTCTTACTCTCAACAAGCAGCGGGTGCTGCCGTGGGCACCTCACCCGTGCCAAAGCTCTCCCAGGCGGAGGATAGTCCTCCCCCGCTGTTATCAGGGCAGGAGACGTTCACACACCTGTGCGTCCAAAGGGCAAATGAATCGCGCATGAGTGAAGCCGCTGCTCCCGCACTGATTGTAACGCAGTCAATTCTTCTTTTACTGTTATGCTGTTTTGTGGATCACAAGGTTTAAAACTACTTATAAACAAACACTCTCACACACAAAGTAACTCCACCAGAGCGCCAATTTCGGGTCACTTTTGCCAGTCCAGGCCCGGATAAAGGAGCAGGGTTGGAACTGTGACATTAAAAAACAATAATTGCTAAAAGAAATTTAATTTGTAGTTCTAAATAAATTCTAACTGCATTTAGGACGTTTTTCACTCACTTTATGTCTCTTCCACGATGTTATTTCTCTCTCCAACAACGTAGGTTACAATTACATTAGCATGACCAATTATACAAATTAGGCGATGACGTCATTTGGCGACTTCTAGCAACTTTTAGGACAGCCAATAGCGATTTTCCTTACTGAGGAGTTGGCAACACGGAGAGCAGCGGTCCCCAACCTTTTTTGCGCCACGGACCGGTTTATGCCCGACAATATTTTCATGGACCGGCCTTTAAGGTGTCGCGGATAAATACAACAAAATAAAACTAGTACTGGTACCGAAAAAAAGAAAATTTATTCATAACACACGTGAAAAGACCAAGGAAAACTGAGTAAACGATAACAAAATAACGCTGAAAACCGATAAAAACCCTGAAAACCATACATTTTACACCTGAGCCTCAACTCTCGCGGCCCGGTACCAAACGACTCACGGACCGGTAACGGTCCGAGGCCCGGGGGTTGGGGACCGCTGATTAAGAGTTAAGTAAGTAAGTAAAGTAAAATTTTATTTATATAGCACATTTCTAGATAAGGGATCACAAAGTGCTTTACAAGGTATAGACACAGATTAAAAAGACGAAGTACAATCAAAAGTTAACAAAATGCAATTTTAAAAAGATGTGTTTTTAGCTGTTTTTTAAAAGTAATCAGTGAATCAGCAGATCTTAAATTCTGAGGAAGAGAATTCCACAGTCTGGCGGCCACAGTAGCAAAAGCTCGATCACCCCTAGTTTTCAGTCTCGTATACTTAATAACAAGTAGGCCCTGACCACAAGACCTCAGAGACCTACTAGGGGCATAGGGCTGTAAGAGTTCAATGATGTATGATGGTGCTTGTTCTTGAAGAGCCTTAAATGTGAGAACCAGAATCTTAAAGTGGACTCTGAATTCGACAGGGAGCCAGTGTAACTGTATAAGCAGCGGTGTTATATGTGAGTATTTCGATGTTTTCGTCAGAAGCCTTGCTGCAGCATTTTGGACAGTCTGCAGACGCTCCAGGGAACTCTTGTTTAGACATGTAAACAGTGAATTGCAATAGTCCAGTCGTGATGAAATAAAAGCATGAATAACAATCTCCAGTTCAGTATGAGCTATTATGGGGCTCAATTTAGAAATATTTCTTAAATGATAAAAGCAAGACCGAACCAGAGATTTGACGTGAGTATCCAATGTAAGAGCAGGATCGAAGGTTATCCCTAGGTTCCTGATAGATGGTTTCACAAACGTTGAAAGGGGACCAAGAGCATTCATTATGCTGGGTACATGTCTGTCTGGAGCACATAACAGGACTTCAGTTTTATTTTCATTTAGTTGGAGGAAATTGTCGGCCATCCAACCTTTGATGGTTTCCAAACACACATTTAAAATCCGCAGTTTAGAAGCATCTTCAGGTTTAAAAGATGGACCCGAGGGAAGCTCGGAAAGCTAAGCAGAAGTTATTTGGAGAGGAGAGTGACTGCCGTTGGTTGAAAAGAGAGGTAAAAAAAAACCCTTCAATGGTGTGGAAACATTATGGGTTCGAGGAGTCAGACGTGGATCAAGTAGACATAGTGTGTAAACTTTGCTACGGTGTCGTAGCTGCACCACAGAGCAACACTGCAAAGTTCACTAAACAGATGTTTACATTTTTCATTTATTTTTTATATTGCAAACATTTGCACTGTTATCAGTATTTGCACACTATTTTATGACAATCTTTAAAGTCATTATTCAATACATTGTTATTGTTAAATAAATATCGTCAAATAATCGAGATCTCAATTTCAGTGAAAATAATCGTGATTATTATTTTTTGCCATAATCGAGCAGCCCTAGTGTTCAATAGTAAGATGTTCTAGCTTCACTTTTTTTTTTCTTTTTTTTTTCTTTTTTTATAAAGCAGAAAACTATTTTTCCAGGTTAAATTATGATCTTCTAAATTTGTGATAGGGCATTTCCTCTCCAGCTTACGAGTTATCCGCTTTTAGGGTGAATGTTTGAGTGTTATCCCAGGGAGTCAAGTACTTCTGATTTGAGGCTCTATTTTTCACAGGAGCTACAGTATCCAGTGCCATACTCACTCATATAGTGAGGAGGTAAAATTATTAACAAGATAATCGACCTCTGTCGGAGTAGTGTTCAGATAGCTGCTCTGCTCTGTGCTGGTACAGGGCATTGAAGATGATAACAGCACATGAATTATATTCTTAAACTTAGGTAGGTCTTTCAGAAAGACATTTACTGTGATGAAATCTACTCCACACTGCTGTGTAATCGATTATTGTAAGTCTAAATGTTTTTTGGAAATGATCAGACGGGAGAGGGTTTTCAGGAAACACTGTTAAATGTTCAGTTTCTATGCCATATGTTAAAACAAGATCTAGAGTGTGATTAAAGTGGTGGGTGGGTTCTTTTACATTTTGAGAGAAGCCAATTGAGTCTAATAACAGATTAAATGCCATGTTGAGGCTGTCATTTTTAGCATCTACATGGATGTTAAAATCACCCACAATAATTATTTTATCTGAGCTGAGCACTAAATCATATAAGAAGTCTGAGAAATCAGACAGCTTCACTGTGTCCTACCCACTGGCTTTTATTTTGTTTTTTTCCCCATTTCAGTAATTGCGTTATTAGTGGATAATCCACTTGCTGCTGTTCTTAAAGTGCAGTCACAGTTTACCAGCCATCCACACGTTACATGTTACACCCTGTACTCAGAGCAGCTTCAGCTTTACTTTGCTAGATTACATTTTGTGACAGTAGTCCTCGTTCTGCAATGAAAACGTTCTGCCAGTGCACCCAAACAGCAGAACCAAACAATGACTGCTGTTTGTCACATGTACTTGTTTATTAAAATGTTGGCAGAGGAGTGCCTTATAAATTTCGCACACATGTTCTTCCTTTAACACACAGACATGTAATAAATCTGTGGAAAACACGGCTTTATTTGTTAAGCTAGGTAGGCTTTTAACCATAATCTCACAGACATTAGATGTTCTTTGTCCCATGATGTTTATGTTTCAATTCCCTTCATGTTAGATTACCAGAGATGTGACACCATGTGTGCAGTGGGCTGCTGTGTTCAGCGATGTGCTGGTTTCTAGTCATACAAAGTGTGGTGCAGAGAGAGTCAGACAGCAGCTGTATTTTTCTGTAACGTGGAAAGTTCACCAGGGCAAAGAAGAGCTGATCAGAATGAAACTTCTTACTAAAATTACTAAATATTTTTCCAGGAAATGAAATTCCCAAGAGCTGTAGTGCATGTTCACAGCAGGGCTGCAGCCCGAGAGGTTTAAATAAATTAGCCACTTGATACAGCTCAGTGGCATCTCTGCTTCCTGATTTGTCAGACACGCCAGCCTGCTTGCAGCTGCAGGTTTTTAAACATGCAGGCTTAGAATACTCCATCTTATGCAGGCTTATTTAAGTATACTTATTAAAGCATACTTAAATAAGCATAGACTGGTGGTAACTTGGACATGAACTAATTAGATTTTTGTGCGCCAGAGTTAAAGGTCAAGGGGAATCTTACTTAACAAGCACATTAATTATCGCTTTTTCCCACAAATGTCCAAGTCATTATATTTTGTGTTGAGTGTGTGTCAACTTAGAGTGTGATGTCATGTTGTGCAAAAGCATGTTTCTAGCCATAATTCATCACCGTATCTCAGGAGTGGAAGGTGAAAAAGATGTTCAGTGATCTCTCAACCATGATTTCAGACTGTAGTGGAAGAAAGCACATAGAGAAAGTGAGTTTGTAGAAAGGGTTCATAGAAAGCTGCTGTATAACATTAGCACCAGTCTCCTGGTTGCTCTGCAGCAGCAGTTTCCTCTTTCATTAACATTAATGTTGCTGCAGTTAACATTTATTTGTTCTCTGTTGCTCCAGCGCACAGAAATGAAACACAGGAGCGTTTGTTTGCATTTCCCAGATGGAGTTGGTCTTTAACGGGGGACTAATCATCATCATCATCATCATCATCATCATCATCATCGTTTATTTATATAGCACTTTAAAAACACACAAGGCTGACCAAAGTGCTGAACAATAGAAACACGATAGATACCATAAGAATAATAAATACGATAAAATAATAAACATAGCGAAAACAATCAAATATAAGTAAATACAAGTCAGTCAACCACTGAATCAAAAGCCAGTGAATAAAAATGCGTTTTCAATCTGGATTTATAAACCAGCACTGATGTAGATTGCCTAATGTGAAGAGGAAGATTATTCCAAAGCTTAGGAGCCACAATAGACTAATATTCAAAACAACTGCCAGATAGTAAAGGTTGGAGCATTAACACACCAAGGAAGGTGTGTAGCCCCAGTCCACCCTGGTGTGAGCAGATAGATTACTGCAGTATGATTGATTTAAATAGGTTAGAGATATTCTGTAACACAATACAGTTGTACAGACTTAAGCCTCCAGGATCTCCGACATGGTAGGATTTATTGCAGGCCATTTATATTAGACTGCTTAGTATTGGCTGTGTATCAAATGATCTGCCAGCAGAATGTAGATAAGTAAGAAATCCATTTCTAAAGACTTCATTTTAGTAAAAAAACAAAGAAGAAAATGTCAGATCCCAGCAGATTTAAGACACCTGTTTGGCATTGGACATGTGGCAGTAGGTGGAATATTTTACTATCGATGATGTAATGTTTCCAGATGTTGTTGCAAAGAACAGTGAACTAGACTATTTAAAGGACTGTTTAAGCATTTTGGAAAGCTGATTTTTATTTATTTTTTTTGTCCCCAGACAGAAAGCTAGGCCTCAGATTTCCCTAAGAGCAAGAGGAAAGATTTAAAGCACAATACTCTGAGACAGAATAGGGCTTAGCTTACGGTGACCATGTGCTGTAAAACACAGCACAATGTCAGAAAAGGCAGCAGCATTTAGGGCCAGTGTTTGGTTCATTGTTTTTTCCTGTGAGTGGATGTTTCACACGGTCGGGTCTGTCTCTGGTGACAGGTCAGTGTCATTTCCTCTTTCTGTGCTGCTCTTCCATTCGAAGAGGAAAGTCTGAAATCCGGAGTAGATTTCCAACTTGGAGAGTCAGAGAAGAATTGACCTCACAGCCCAAGATGGCTGCAGTTCATGTAAACATGAGTAGAAGCCTAAAACTCGTCATTTGTATTGCTGCTGTTGTGCAAACTTAACCAGGCGCCATCATTTGTACTTATATTAGAGCTATTTCTTATATTTTGTAAACTTTGCAACATATTATATTATTTAATTTAGCTCAGTCTGTTACTGCTATTCTCTTGGCGCAACTGTAACCACATAATTTCCTTAGGGATTATTAAAGGATTCTGATCACGAACGGACTGTAGCTGCAGTTTTAAGAGGAGCAGACAGGAATTGTGTATTATTGCTACATATGGATGACTGGCTCAACCTTGCTAGAGGGCCAAAAATAAAGGCAACTTTACTATTGAATGCCTTCAACTCAACTTGACAGAAGGCTGAAATCATAAAGGCACATTTTAACATCAGCTCCAAACATCATCAAACAAAAACTGAAGTCTTATATGTTTTTGATTCGATGTTTTGCACCTCAAGGCCGCTGTAGGAATTTGTCACTTAGGCTCTACGTCTTGGTATAAGCATATGTATAACTAAACATGCTACACTCTGTCTGTGTTTGTGCCTGCGTGCGTGACTTAGCTGCTGGACAGTGACCAGGAGCTCTACAAGAACTTTCCTCTGGTCATCTCAGAGCGCTGGCAGCAGGAGGTGGCAGAGACAGTCTACGAAGCTGTCAACTTGGACACCGATAAGAATGAGGCCCGCAAGAGGGCTAAGAACAAGCAGCTGGGCCACGAGGAGGGTAATGATGATAACGGCCAAATCCGCACACAGCCCAGTACAGATATCCTGTCAGTACACCTCCTGACTGTGTGTCCCTTTGTGCAGACTATGCCTTGGGGAAGGACTGCATTATGCATGGCTACATGCTGAAGCTCGGGAACCCGTTCCTCACTCAGTGGCAGCGCCGATACTTCTATCTGTTCCCCAACCGTGTGGAGTGGAGAGGAGAGGGCGACACTCGGGTGAGTCTGCCTCACAGCATACACTTTAAATTCACTGCACGTTTGTACGTCATGTGACCGCCTATCATGGGCTGAGGGCTTTCGGCTTGTTCATCATTTGGTCAGTGTGTCTGTCTGTCTGTGCTCATTCCACTCTGAAGGAGAGGTGGCTGAAACCTCTGAAAAAGCAGAGAGACTGGGTGAGTGTTACCACCAGGCTCAGGTCCCTGCTGTGTCCTCAGCACCCCTGCTGTTTAGAGTTGTAGTCTGCCTCCCCGCTTGAAATTTGGTAGTCAGTCAACTTCAGTTTTTACTCTTTGTCGATCTGGTTTTATGGTACTGCAAACGTGTCCGATCACGTGCACAATTCTAGGTGGACCACCCACCCCAAACCTGCTCCCATGCATTTCTCCACAGTCTGGACTGCACGTCACTGGAAGCAGATTATGGAAATGTCTGCTCGGTGTTGATTGGTTTACAAGTGGGCAGGGAGCAACAGGAGAGGTCACTGGGAACAGGAGAATAAGAAGAAAATTTGAAAAAACGTAAAGATCAGAACATAAAGCATTAAATGCACAGAGTGTGGCTGCAGTGTTTAACACTCAAATTCACTTCAGCTCTTTGTATGTTTGCTCTCCTCCACGGCCGACGGACCACCAACAGCACAAGCAAGAGTAGCTCGCTGCCACCGTCTGACAACAAAGCTCACTGCAGGCCTCAGACCATCTCAGACTGCAGCTATTAGCCTAACAACACAAGTGAAGGAGCACTTGCACGGTCTTGATTGTGTTAGTGTTTCCATGAAGTACACTGCTTACTTGTGTGTAAGTGTAATGTGTGCACTGAACTATACTTTCATCAAAACTAAAGGGAAAACCCAGCTAGGCTCTATCTGAGAGACTTTAAAATAAACAAACAAAAAAAAAAAACCACACACACGCTATTTGTGCTTACACTGGTGTGTTTTACATGTTAATTACCATGTGGTCATATCTCGGTGTTTTATACACAGAGCCACCTGGTAGAAACACATATGATCCTGGGACTTTTCCCCTCCTGGATGCTCTCTATTTGTTATGCTGAGGGTTTTTTGAGGCGAACATGTTTATCCAACACACCCATTTTGGTAGTTGCAGTGGTCTCCCTCCAGGAATCTGCTGACATTTGTGAGTCCTTGCATTGAGACTGTTGTTCGTTGCCTCACTTAAAAATTGTGGGGGAAAAGTAATTCGTAATGCTTAGGAGGACTTGATGGTAGGTGTGGATTTAGAAAAAAAAAATTTCCAATTCAAATTAATTTTAGCTTGAATAACGCAATATCGATTCAGTAAATCCTGAATTGATTTTTAAACATAAATATATAAATATATCCAAACTATGCTTCACATGTGATAAACATCGTCATGAATTCCCTCTTACTTTTGCCGCTTCGTTTCCACCATGATAAAATCACACTTCCTGCACAGCCCCCCCCCCCCCCCCCCCCCCCCCCCCCCAAAATATACTTACATTTCAAATCTCAGTTTTCTGCATTATTCACTTACTTATTACGCACCAGTCTACCATTGTGCGTTTTATCCTCATTTAGTTTGGCACAGAGACATCTGCTGTGAAGCTTACACTCTGATGAAGTCTCACAAGTGTCAGCTTTGTTTTTATGCATAGATATAAAAATATGGATATGTACTGATCACTGATAAATGATCAGAATTATAGTATTTCTGACTGTGTGAATCAAAATTGAATTGAATCGAATCAGGACCTTCGGAATCGAATTGATTATAGAAATCAGTGACAATACCCAGCCCTACTCCATGGCACAGAACAGGGCAGTCACACCAGCTGCGGCTGTGATGCATCGACGTCTAATAGGTAGGGCTGCCACGATTTGTCGACTAGTCACGATTATGTCGACTATCAAAATCGTCGACTACTGATTTAATAGTTGACGCGTCGTTTGAAGCTTTGTAAGATCACAAAAGATGCAGGAATAAGTGGCAGGATTTAAGAGTGTAATAACGGACTGAAACAGAAGATGGCAGCATTGCATGTACAAGGATGTCAGCTACCGTTAAACCCCGAAGAAGAAGAAGAAGCAGTTGTGTCCCAGCGCAGTTTCCAACAATGGCGGCAGCTAGTTAGTTTTAATGTTACTCTTATTATTCTTTCTGGGTCACAAAATAAACGTTTAACATATTTTCAGGCGAGAATGTAGCTGTGTAAACCTCAAATATCTGCTCAGTTTATCAGGACACCACATATTTTCAAAAGCGCTCCGACGTTTTTGGAGACGTCTGTTACCCACTAGCTCGTTAGCGAGCCGGGGGCTAGGCTCACTAGCGCCTGAGAACACCGGACTCCCCGCAAATCATTTTCAAACCCACCGCCGTCTTTCGCTACTCAGGTTAAATATATATGAGTCACTTAGATAACTTAAAATGTTATTGTTTGGCTTTTTTTTTTTTTTTTTTTAGTATTTTATTTGTTCCTGAGTAAATCAGTTTGTCTGAGATTAAAGTTATAGTTTTTACACAGCTGAATAAACGTCAAGCAGACAGCTGATTATCAGAAGTGTGAGATGCTCCAGAATATACTCCAGTGTCCTGTTATATTTTAGATAGCAAGGAGTTTATTAAACTTCACCGAAACAATCTGCAAATTTCATTAAAATTTCATAAACTATCATCTTGTCTTTATTTTTAGTTAGCACAGACCTTAAACACTTAAAGCTGTAAGCTAATGATAGTTATATAAGAGCAGATGCTGCTGGTGCAATAAGCTGTAGTTTTACGTCCAATGGATGATGATCTGATTAGTCGACTAATCGCAAAAATAATCGGTGACTAGTCGACTATCAAAATAATCGTTTGTGGCAGCCCTAGTAGTAGGGTTTCAGAAGGGTTTGCAGTACCAGCGTAGCTACAGCAGAAATTTAACACATAAGTCTAAATTCTCCATTACTCTTCTTCATCATGAGTTCCTCCGTGACTGTCCTAACACTCCCTGAAATCCTCTGTGCCAGTGCTTTTTAGTGCTGTAGGGGTAAGGTGTACATCTCTGCAGCAGCTGTGAGCCAGAGCCAGAAGTCTTGTTGGTGAAATCCATCTGAACACTTTGTGATCACTCAATTATCTTTGCAGCAAAACCTGCTGACGATGGAGCAGATCGTAACCGTGGAAGAAACGCAGATTAAAGACAAGAAGTGTATCCTGCTGCGCATCAAAGGAGGGAAACAGTTTGTGCTGCAGTGTGAAGTACGTCCTCTGGCTGTTGTATGCTTTAGTGCTGTAGAGGAGATGAATGAAACAAGCTGATGTCTTTTTTTTTTTTGTGTATGTGCGCAGAGTGACCCAGAGTTTGTGCAGTGGAAGAAAGAGCTGACTGAGGCGTTCACGGAGGCCCAGAAACTTCTGCGTCGCGCTCCTAAAGTCATCGGGAAAGGCCGTGCTGGAGTAGTGGAGCTTTCCAAGCCCCCCCTCACACACCGCAATAGCAATGGCCTGTGAATACACAAGAGCACGCATATACATAAAAACACATGCACTCACATTGACAGACACACACACACACACTGCATCCCACCTCCCACCCCCTCATCAGCTGCAAGACACCTGCCCACATCACCTCAGTGTGTGTGTGTGTGTGTGTGTGTGTGTGTGTGTGTGTGTGTGTGTGCGTGCGTGCGTGCGTGCGTGTGGTGCTGATGGCGCGCACACAATGACGACCAATCAAGAGTGATATAGTGATTTTTATTTTTATTTTATTTTTTTTTGGGGGGGGGGTAAATGTGTGTGCGTTCTGGGACCCTGCCAGTCAGTAAGAGGAAGAAAGGATTTTGAACCATTGGACATTTGAAGAATCCCCGCATGAACTTCACAAGGACTAACGGCTGCTCCTCTCTCTGTTTGCCCCTCCTCAACCACCTCCCACACCACACACCTCGCTGTTGAAATCACATTAATCAGGAAGTGTCCTCCCACTCTGTGTGCTCTCAGCAGCCTGATGGACTCCTCCACAGAGCTGATGCTCAGGTCCAGAAGAGACCAGGCTACCACAGAATGTAGAAAACAAAGGCTGGTTGTCCTCATCCATCCCTCTGAAACATTCCTCCCACTGTTACTGAAGTGCAAAAAGTGCCAACATTAATATTTTACTTGAGTCACCTGAGCGCCCAGGAGGATCCGCTCTGCTGGCAGATGGCGCGCCATCCCAACCTCCCGGACCCTCACAGTGTATGTGTGGAAGGCTGTTGATCATTCCAGCGCAGGTACAGGAAGCTTCACATTGGCTCTAGTCACCACAGAGACTGAGATTCCATTGGCTGACAAACAGCAGCTGGTTGCTATGGTAGCCATGAAGATTGGTGTACATGTACTGGTAACCATGGACAACACTGTAACTATAGAGGAGCAGGAGGGAGGCAAAGACTATAAAGACAATATAAGCACCCTTTTGTCTGCGCACTGCTGTTTTACTTCAGTGTGTTAGCTTTATCGCAACTCCTCTGTCTGCCTTTACAGGATTTTGTTGGTGTGGGGTCTTTCAGAGGTGGCAAGAGAAGGGCTCTGAAAGAGCTACAGAGCTGCATTACCTCAGTTGGACTGTGCCAGTATGAGTACATCAGAATGTAAGAACCTGTTCCCAGGCAAAGCACAAGAATCAGCAGTCTGTTCCCGCTCACACATTGTCCATGCAGGGCAACAGCTTGGAGCAGTCAGCTGTTGTGGGCAGACTGTGTGTAGGGAGGAGGATGAAGACAATAAGCTGAAGCTGATTAAAGGAAAAATCCACCCTCAAATACCCCAGTTAGATGCATAGATCTTCTATATGAGCTTTCATGTTCATGCTATTTCAGGCTTTTTTTTTTTCTTTTTTTGGTTTTTAAGTGGTTGAAATGTTCACATTTTATCCAGTTGGTGTTAGCCTACATTTCTCCAGAGAGCAGATAAATGCAGGTTCAGAATAAACGAGAACAGAATGATCTGTGACTTATTTTCTTTAGATGTGCAGTAAAGTACTGAGCCTGCTCTGAGCCTGAGCAGGCTCCTGTCAGATTTACCACCAGGCCTCATGTTGAGGTTACACCCAGGGAATGCAAACGCATTTGTCTTTGAGAAACTCCACACGATGATGAGTCTACAGGCTCAGTCTGGACTGCACTGAACACTTAGCCGAAGTGCGGCGGCCCTCAGTTTTCTCACATTCAGTCTCAGCTACAGGTGGGCCCGATGTGAAGTTTGTCATGGCCTTTGGTCAAAACTCTGCTCATGGCCAGCCTGGCTCGTGGCATTTTGCCCACAGCTGGGCCGTACAGCCACCGTCGGTGCTGTGACTGAGCCCTTAGTCCTAGAAGCAGCCCGGATTTGGGCCAAATGTGTCTGCTGTCAGAGAGCTGCTGCACTACATCAGATCCATCACGTCAGAGGACACGGATGAGCACAACAAGTGAGCCAATTCACTGCTCTTTAAATATATGCTCAGTCTGTAGCCAGTACAGTGTTCTGATCCCCCTCACTGCCATCTGTCTACGTTCCTCAAGTAGGACCATAGCTGAGCTTAAAGAAAGCTATGTCCACGAGCATTGTCTGCGGACCTACTGCAGTGTTTCAGGGTGGACTTTTCGTCTGTCTTCTCACTGTGTTATGAGTTTTTTCCTGAATGTGACACAGTTCAGATGAGGTGTATGGGTTTGTCTAAATTATTGGACTTTTTACAGTTTGGTGGGGAACCTCACCAGGGTTCAAGGCGAAGGCAGTGGCAGTCCAGAGTAGTGTGCAGCAGAGGAGAGAAAGCGGTTTACTTCAGGGGTTTTCTTTTCCATCCAGTACAGTGTCTTCATCTGTGATGTCCATGCATTTCCAGAGCTGTGATGTGTGACTTGAGTTGGAAAAAGGGTTTGTTTAGGGTGCTCTGTGATTCTTTTTCTTTGGAGCCTTTACCAGTCAGGGGCAGATGTTATCGTCTTAGAGAGAAAATGTGTCACCTCTCCAGGTGTCTTTTATTTTTGTAAACCAAAATGGTTTTTATTGAAATTTCTGTTGTTGCACCTTTTTATCCCGATGTGTTACTTAATAGATGTTAAATGTGCCAAATAACTGTTGCTGATCGAGTGGAAGCCTCCTTTTCTCAACTTTTCACACCTCTCACTACCAGGTCTGGTACAGTCACACGCGCGCACACACACACACTCACACTCTCACAAACACAACATTGATGTGGGAGTTTTGGTGGAATCTCTGAAGGGTACAAAACTGTGACCAAACATTTTTCCGTAGGTGTGTGTGCGCGGACTGGCTTGCACACCACGATGCCATTGAGACTCACACCATCTAGCTCTGCATACTCGTTCCTGAACGTTTTCCTCACACTGTGTGTACGTCATGTGAGTGAGTGTGTGTGTGTGTGTGTGTGTGTGTGTGTGTGTGTGTGTGTGTGTGTGTGTGAGAGAGAGAGAGAGAGAGTGGACGTGAGCCTTGGTATTGCTTTGTATGTTCAGCAGTAGACTTTTTATTTGGACGTCTCACAAATTTTCTGCTCAGACACGCTCAGTATAAGGCAATTTAAAAAGGATGGCGTATAGGAAAAAGGAAAAAATCAAAGTATATATAAATATATATGTGTATATGAAATGACAAAATGCTCTAGGTCTATTTAAAAGATGTAATGTAGAAAACAAAATGGATTTGTTGAAGGGAGGTCGGGGTTTGATGTGAGTATAACTGTTCGTGGTGAAGACTTCAGCTCGAATCTTGCACATAAAGACTTATTAGAGATATTGTACCTGCGAGTTTCAGATGATGATCTTTGTTTCAATGCCGGACTCTTTGCTCTTTGATATTTATTGCGTGTGTGGTGAGCTCTCTCGCGCTGTCTCTCCTCCACGCCGACGAGCTCTCGGCCGAGTGCTCACTGTAGAATCC